TATTCAAATCCAATTGCATATCTTTCTTCCCAATGTCATAGGATCATTCATCCCATGTAGTTTTCAAAAAGTAATAATTTGGTTAGATTAGCAAAGTTTGCAATACACACATATTGTTACTTAATGTAATCCCATATAGCTGTTGGTACACCACGTAATTAGTTTTGAAAAAGTCAAAATGAAAACTACCTGGGATGGCAGTATGGAATGTAATTCATTTTCTATAAAATCTCTCACTATCTGTGAAATTCATGTATCTTCTCTTTGGGGAAAAGAAAACCTGCCTGAAAAACCTTTAAGTTACACCTAGGTAAATAAGGACTTGCTAAAATAATATGAGAGTAAAAATCAAACAATGTGCTTTATAATCACACAAATTTGCCTCCGTTCTCGATGGATACTGAATTTAGTTAGTAATGCTATATGGCAGTTAGGCAGAGAGGAGAACATATCATGTAGTCAATGAAGAGGCAATAGGTATCACAAGCCAAAATTTAATTTGCCTGTATGACCATTGACCTAAAATTAGAGTTAGCATATTAATCATGGAACATCAAATAATGAATTGCAGCTGTGAATGAATCTTATAAAACCTGGTTTCATGGACCAAATGATCATATTACTTCACGTATAATTCACAAAGTGATTTGGATCCAAAGAAACCAAGAAGAGCTGTCTGTACAAAAGTTCTTCCATAATTTGTTTTTTTTGGGGGGGGGGGGGGGGGGGGTTAGTATCAACCATCCACGATACTGAGCCATGGTGGTACAGTGGTTAGAGTGCAGGCTACTTCTGCTGACTGCCTGCAATTTGGCAGTTCAAATCTCACCAGGCTCAAGGTTGACTCAGGCTTCCATCCTTCCAAGGTGGGTAAAATTAAGACCCAATTTGTTGGGGGCAATATGCTGATTCTGTAAACTGCTTAGAGAGGGCTGTAAAACACTGTAAAGCAGTATATAAGTCTAAGTGCTATTGCTATTTCTATAAAGATAATGCTTATTTTCCCCAGTTAAGCAGGATCAATTTGTTTTTGGCTGTGGTTTGCTCTCCAAGCTTGTATCAATTTAGTTTCTGAATGTTTCATTATCAGGCTAGGTAAAATCATCTATCATCTTTGACCTGCGCTACAAGTATTTTCTGTTATTTCAAGGATCAATTAGTATTTGGATAAAGGATTATTTGAGAATTCCAGAATTGTTGGCTATGTTGAGAATCTGCAAAATCATACTAAAGAAGGCAATGACAAATCAAAGAAAATTGAGTGCCTACATCCAGAGTTACATCCGTGTGGCATTAAAAATGTTCAGACATTCTGAGCTTCAGTTGCATTAGGTGGAAGAGTTGTTGGGTCCAATTTTAAGACTTGTGGATTTCAACTCCTAGAGTTCCTGGCTGAGGAACTCTGGGAGTTGAAGTCCACAAGTCTTAAAGTTGACAAGGTTGGAGACCCCTGGTTTAGTCTATACAGCAAGTGACACCCCCACTGACCCTTGATATCTATACTCTTAGAAAGTACTTTTCTCTAATACTAGAGAGAAATGATAGCTTACTGTAACATAAAAGGAACTCACCAATAATATAATCAAATGCGGGATGAACATGCAGATGTGAACTCGTATCTCATATTTTATTCCATTTCAAGGGATAGTTTTATCATTTCCTTTTGCTCTTTTCTATGCTTTTTAGAACAATCAGAAAGGTTGCATTTCTTCCAGTTTTCTGAAAACCAAGCACTTGCAGTAATGTGCTAAAGCTCTGGAGAAGAGCTAGACTAAATCTATCAAAAATTTCAGATTTTATTTGCTGTCTTCTGAGAGATCATAACTACACACAGTGAAAAAAGTTGGAATAAACAAGTAAAATTAAAGCTATAAAAATTATTGGACAGTTTTTACTTTTATCCCTCCACAGAATCCATAGTTCACTTTTGACATTTCCAGTTTTGTTTTGTTTTATTTTGCAGTACTATTAGTTTCAAAGGGTCTTAAGCAACTAACATAAAGAGTCACTACTACATTGTGGTCTGAACTCAATTTATCCAAATTAAAAAGAAAAGAAAAAAAAATACTTATTTTCCAAAAGAATGAGTTCCCTCCATAATGCAAGTATTATGACAGCGGAAAAGAAATGCATAATCAAGCTGTCAAGTTCAAGAGCAAAACACATCCCCCCTGCTCCCCTGATTATTGCAACAAGCAGAAGTTAAACAGCTAACTCTTAACTGAATATCTGGGAAGGGTTTGTAGAGCGCATCCAAATGGATTTTTGTGAGGCAAGACCAGCAGCCATCAGTTATCAGTCAATTGTACTAGAATGAATAACCCAGGATCCTCCAGATGCTGCAGGCTATAGCTCCATAGTCCTTTATTCTTGACATAGCCAATGGGGAGGACAAATGGGAAAGTTTCCCTTCAGTCCTGGTGATTTCATGAACAAGGCAACAATTTGGAAGCAGTTTGCCTTCTATATTTTTACCTCAAGTTCCCAGTCCAGCCCACAACCAAAATATTATCTAGCCCTTGGCCCTGCTCCGCTTGCAGCATCAGCCAAAGTTGGTTAGCTGTGCCAAGCTAATTAAGCTGAAATTCAAAATATCTGGATGGCATGGCTTTGCTTGTCCCCGATCTACACAAATCAGGCTATCAAAGCATGTGTTGCAGACTCTTCCAGGTGACTAAACTCTCACAAAGCAAGGCAAAATAAAAGACATGAAGCATAAATCATGAAGGTGGCATTTCTCCCTTGTTTATTCTCCATGTCAACATCAAGCAAAATAGGAAGATTGGGAGTGGAAAATGAGTTGATAGTACATGATCAATAAATCAATCATCAAAAGGAAATTGACAATCAAGAATTGAAATCGTATCTACTATAGTGTCAGAGAGGCTCATAAAAACAGCATTTATTCATACTAATTTAACTATTATCTAAATGTGTAACTTGTCCATTTTGAAACGACTACCACTGATACTATATTTACTTTTGCTTCATTTCTTACTTGCTTCTCACTCTTTGTGAGGAGGGGGGAGTTACAAGGAACTAGAATGCGGTGCCTGAGTCCACTAGACAAAATATCCACCAGACTCAGAGTGTGAACCAAGGTCATGGCAACGAACATCTGCTGGGGGAATGAATGCAGCTTCTGAGTCCTGATTCAGTTGGGTTCATTGCTTGGAACCATGACACAATTATTTTGCAACAATAAATATGTAATGATGTTCTTCCTTGAGTTTTTGGAGAGAAAACAAGATACAACTCTACAAATCAGCCACAGTGATACCAATGAGAGTTTTCTACTTGATACAAATGTAATCAAGCTGAGAAATAAAATTTACTTAAAATAACATGTTAGGTTCCTTCCCTGTTTGTGTGTTTGGCCTCAGTAAATATCAGCTTTTTCCTCTTAAACTGTTTGAACTTTTTTCATTGCTAATCTGCAATACTATGCATTGGTGGTATTCTACCGGTTCGGGCCGGTTCTGCAGAGCCGGTAGCAGCGATGAGCAGCAGAGACCGAACCCATTCTCTCCATCGCTCTGCTGTTGGGCCCACCTGCCTGCCCAAGCTCCCATACCTTTCTCTCACCTTTATCCGCTGAATTTGAAGTGCAGCTGCTTTGTGCGGCACAGAAGAGTGCTGCGCGGCAGCTGCTGAAGCAATCGGGATCATGCAGGCTTGCAGGAGGTGAGTTAGAATGCCTCTGTGCCTGTGCAAACACCTCTGTGCCTGCACAAAGTGTGCGTTTGGCACGCACACACACGCAAAGTGTGTGCACATGCACAAAGAGCGCCCATCAACCCAGGCTGGCTAAATATTAACAGGAAAAACCTCATACAAGGGGAAAATGAGAAAGTGTACAATCAGGTAGATTTCAATTTAACAAAATTATTTAGAAAATAATTTCAATAAGATGGCTCTTTAATTTGCCAAGGTGAATCTATTATTGTTGTGAAGCAACTTGGCTTGAAAATATTCCAGACAGCAAGCTGCTCTTTCAAGACATTCAGATCAGCATCTTTTCTTAGCTTCAAGCAGGAGCATGTAGAGGCCACAAGGCAATACTCCCAAATCCTTCCTTTATTGTAAAGAAAAGGGTTTTCTGTATTTAATATCAGGCAGATGTTGAATAAGAGGGTGGAAAGAATGGGATTTATCATTTCCCTTCAGTCTCAGATTTAAATTGGTATTTGAAAGAAACAGGATTTTCTAGGTAACAAATTAACAGAGAAATAAATCTGTTTCAAAGCTAGTTTGGTCTTTAGAGGAATAGGGAAAATTTACCTAAGAAATGTGCTAAATTTAATTTATCCTATGCTTCTGGTACATAATATTTATGTATTGTGTCTCTGGTATTTATGTTCTCTGTACATGCTCAGTAAATTGTGGTATTTTTATGCATCTTGGAACATCTTTAGCAGAGTTCCTTTAAGTTAGGGGCAATCAATAACATAATGTATCTGCCCAGAGGCTCAGATTTCTGATCTAAAAAATAATACTTTTTACTTCCCTTGACACTGAAGGGATACTTAAAGCTAAAAAGGAACTGCATTTTCCCTCTTTTCTTTTTAATAAAATTTGATTCTGTTTTATTTTGTAAGATTGATCTGGCTCTCAAAGGAGATGGGGCTGATTTCCCTAGCTACATAAGTTCACACCCCAGATTCAGGAAGTGCTGGAGTAGAATTGACTTCATTTTTGCCATGAGGGAAAAGGGAAGGGGAGGGGAGGGGAGGAGGAAAGGAAAGAAATTATACCTGGATGATTCCCATGGAAATGTGAAGCAAAAAAAATTAATCTCATATCATGAATACAATGAGAGACATTTCATCTGTGAATCATCTCATCAACCAGTCAGTAGTCAGGCTTTGTGATCCTTAGTGAAATAGCTGGCTTTGAGTTGTGATGATTATGGTCCTTTGGTGGAGAATGAAAGCTAGCTAAGTATACCGTACAAACTCTGATGAAGAGATTTAAATAATATTCTTCTTTCTTTTTCATAGGACCTCCATCTGTCTCTAAAATGGCTCTTCAGAGTTATTTCAGTTGCTGGAATGGAACAGTGATCAAGTTGAGACGGGTGTGTGACTTCATCAAAGATTGTGCAGATGGAGAAGATGAAGGACAGATATGCAGTAAGTCAAATCAGCTCTAAAATTTCAGAACACTGCCTTGTTTTACAGCACTGAAAATTGCCCCAGTTCTACAAAGAAACTTGAATTGGTTCTTTGAATTCAACACTAAATTGGGGGGCGGGATTTTTAGTTTTTCTGACTAAAGAAGGAAACTGCAAATGCTGCACCCAACTCGCTCCCTACACAGAAGTTTGTCTTCAATCTTTCTTAACACCAGGATCTTTTCCAGTGAGTCCTCTCTACTCATTTGATGGCCAAAATATTTGAGTTTCGGCTTCAGTATACAGTTAAGGTCTATTTATTTTTTTTATTTTTATTTTTTTTAAAAAAAAAAACCTTTATTGATTACAAAACCAAAATATCAAACAAACACAACACACAGAAGAAGAAAGAAAAGAAATAGAAAAAAAGAAAATGATTAAAAAACTAACAATTCTACTATCGACAGTCTATGGTTCCTTGTTTGTTATCAATATTGGTGATACATTTACAAATACATCTTATTGTGAATATATAATTATGATTTACATTTTATGATATTTACTAATATATTTTCTATTTTTGTTCTATCCAGTCATACCAGCATTCCCAGCTTCTATAATATTCTGATGTTTCTTTTTCCTTAAGTGCTAAGGTTAATTTGTCTATCTCTGCACAGGCTGTTATCTTCTGTATAACCATCTCCTCTGTTGGAATATCTGCTTGTTTCCAACACTGTTCAAAGGTTATTCTGGCTGCAGTAAGAATATGCAGTATTATATATTTGACATTTTTAGGAATTTGTCTATTAAATATCCCCAATAGGAAGAATTCTGGTTTTAATTCAATTTGCTCCGCCGTTATTTCCTCTAACCACTTTTTTATTCTATGCCAATATCTTTGGGCTTCAGTGCAGGACCACCACATATGAAAAAATGTTCCCTGTTTCTTTTTACATTTCCAGCAATTTGGATTCATGTTAGGAGACATTTTTGCTATTCTCAAGGGTGAGAGATGCCATCTATAAAACATTTTATATGCATTTTCTTTATATGCTGCTGATCTTGTAATTTTATTATTCCTTGTCCAAACCTTTTCCCATTCTAATAATGTAATGCTACGTCCTATGTTTCTGCTCCAAGCTATCATGTTGCCTTTGACTACTTCCTCTTCTAATTCCGTCTCTAGTAAATAATTATAAAATTTAGTTATATTTTTTTTTATCGGGACCTAATAAAATTTTATCTATTTGTTGTGCCCTAGTATAAATTCCAAAATTTTTCTTGTCCTGGCTATATCTATTTTGAATTTGCAAGTAAGCCCACCGGTCTACCTGTAGCCCCTGTTCTTGGAGATCTTGCCATGATTTTAAAGTTCCTTGCGCATCAAGGAGGTCTTTGTATTTTGTCATTTTATTAAGATCTAGATTATTTGGATGTATCATCGCCTCCATCGTTGAGATCCAAATTGGGATTTTTAAATAATGTTTTTTTTTTGTTCCAATTAGCCAATAAGGAATTTCTAATTATATATCTGTGGAAATACTTCTGCTTAATTTTCCCAATGTCCCATAAAAATGCATGTCATCCCCTCTGTAAATCATGGCCTTCTAAAAATAAGATCCTTTTATTCGACAGATTTACCCACTCTTTCAACCAGAGAAAGGAGGCTGCACTATAGTATAATTCCCTATTTGGGAGTGCCATACCTCCCCTGCTCTTCATATCTTGCATTGCCTTTAGGTTTATCCTCATTTTTTTCCCTTGCCAGATAAATTTGGTGATTATCTTGTTAAGTTCCACGAAGTAATTTTTATGTATTTTTATTGGCACTGTTTGGAATAAGTAAATAAATTTGGGCAGAATATTCATTTTTATAGTGGCAATCGTCCCTAATAAGGGGATTTGCAATTTAACCCATATCTCTAAATCTTTTTTAACTTGCTGTAATAATTTATTATAATTATTTTCCATTAGAGTTTTGCATTGAGCCATCAACCAAATTCCTAGGTATTTAACTTTTTTTCCTATTTGTAATCCCATTATCCTTTCCAATTTTAGTTTTTGTTTTTCTGTTAAATTTTTAGTTATTAATTTCATTTTTTCCCTATTAATTTTAAGTCCTGCAACTTCCCCAAATTGATCTAACTCTTTCAGTAATTCTTGACCTGTTTCAATTGGTTCCTCTATGAAAAATACCATATCATCCGCAAATGACTGGAGGTTATATTCTTCTTTTTTAATTTTTAGTCCTTTTATTCCTGGGTTCTGTCTAATTCGTGTAAGCAATGTTTCCAAAGATAATATGAAGAGCAGGGGGGATAATGGACATCCCTGCCTGACTCCTTTCTCTATTTTTATTGAGCGCGTGTACTCTCCATTAATTATAATATTCGCCTTTTGTGAATCATAAATTGTAGTCACGATGTTTTCAAACTTAGTGCCTAGATTCATATTGTAAATGTGTTGAATTAGGAATTGCCAATTTAAATTATCAAAGGCCTTCTGTGCATCCAAGAATACAAGGGCTATTTGTTTTTCTGGGTGGGCTTCGTAGTATTCCAAAACATTTAATACTATCCTTAAATTATTCCTGATTTGTCTATTAGGAAGAAATCCATTTTGATCTTTATGTATATATTCATTCAATATGTTTTCAATATATTTGCTATAATTGTAGTAAATATTTTATAATCAGTATTTAACAGGGAAATTGGTCTATAGTTTTGTATATGTCATGAATCTGAATCTTCTTTCGGAATCAACAATATCAATGTCTCCTTCCATGAATCCGGCATTCTTGCTGCTAGTAGGACCTCATTTTGTACTTCCACCATAAGAGGTCTTATTTGTTCTCCTATTTTTTTTATAAAGTTCCCCTGGTATCCCGTCGGGTCCTGGGGTTTTATTGTTCTTTTGGTTTTCTATTGCTGCTTTATTAAACACTGAGAAAAAGCAATTTACATTTTATTCCAACCCTCACCAATCATGGACACGAATTGATATGGTGTGGATGAATGGTGAATTAGTAAATGAATTAAAAGAGATTGAAATCTTACCAAACGAATGGGCAGATCACAACCCAATTCAGATAGTGTGGAAAGGCAGGAAGAAACAAAGGAAAAGGTGGACCTTAAATACACAGTTAATTAAAGAGAAAGAGTTTATGAATAAACTTGATGAGGAATTAGACTATTTTTAAAAGAAAATAATAATGAGGCAACTACGAAACAGAATATTTGGGATACAATGAAGGCAATAATAAGGGGCATAACGATATCATACACTGCTAAAAAAAATAAAGAAAAATATGCCCAACAAAATAAATTAGAACAAAGAATCAAAGAATTAGAAATTCAGCTGCAAAACACCCCCAAAAGATTGCAAATTGAAAAAACAGATGATAATAACTGAACATAAATTAAATTTAATTGAACAAGAAGGAATGGTCTCAAAGTTAAATACAGCCAAACAGATATTTTTTGAACAGGCCAATAAACCAGAAAGGTGGTTGGCCTGTAAACGTAAAAAAGAAAAACAAAAAAGATTGATCTACCAATTAATAGATGAGAATGGGGATGCCCAACAAGGGATAGAACAAAAAAAAAGAAATTGCATGTAAATTTTTTGAAGATCTTTATAAAAAGAAGAAGGTAAATGAGGATATGATAAGAAACTATTTGGGTATTACTAAAGATAAAATAATTAAGGAGGAGATAAAGGAAATGTTAATTAGAGATATTACGTGGCCCGAGTTAAGGTCTATTTAATAGACCTTAAATAAGAGAAGGCAACTGAGCCAAACCAAAGCAAACCACTTTCACTGTGTTCATAGGAAGGATAGGAAAGGAATATAGGCATCAGGGTATTTTGATTTGATTTGATTTGATTTATTTGATTTGTCAATCGCTTACAAGATAATAGGTATAAGTATATGCATAGTTTTGAATACATGAAATGGGTAAATAAAAGAAGAATAAGAGAAACAATAGGACAGGGATGGTAGACACGTTGGTGTACTTCTGCATGCCCCCTACAGACCTCTTAGGAAAGGGGTGAGGTCAATAGTAGACAGTCTAAGGTTAAAGTTTTTGGGGTTTGGGGAAGAAACTACAGAGTCAGGTAGAGTATTCCAGACATTGATCATTCTGTTGCTGAAGTCATATTTCCTGCAATCAAGTTTGGTGCAGTTAACCTTGAGTTTGTATCTATTGTGTGCTCTTGTGTTGTTATGGTTGAAGCTGAAGTATTCATTGACAGGTAGGACATTGCAATGTATGATTTTATATGCAATACTTAGATCGGACCGAAGGTGTCGTAGTTCTAGGTTTTCTAGGTCTAGAATTTCAAGTCTGGTGGCATAAGGTATTCTACAACGAGTAGAGGAGTGGAGAACTCTTCTTGTGAAATATTTCTGGACTTTCTCAACTGTGCTAATATCAGATACGTAATGTGGGTTCCAGACCGATGAGCTGTATTCGAGTATTGGTCTAGCAAATGTTTTGTATGCTCTAGTTAGTAGTGTGATATTACCAGAGAAAAAGCTACATAGGATTAGGTAAACAACTCTTAATGCCTTTTTGGCTATGTAGTTACAGTGGGCTCTAGCACTTAGATCATTAGAGATGAGTACTCCAAGGTCCTTTACAGAGCTTGGATCATCAACAAGATCTTGACTATTCAGCTTGTATTTTATTTTCTGATTTTTTTTGCCAATATGTAAGACAGAGGATTTATTTGTTGAGATTTGAAGTTGCCATTTGTTTGACCATTCTGATACATAGTCAAGATCTGTTTACAGGTACAGAATTGGATAGGACACTCCCAATGTTGACCATTTGTTGCCTGTTTGACAGGAATGCTTCTATCCAGTTATGCAGATGTCCAGAGATACCATAAGATTTTAGTTTTAGTAGTAGTTTGTCATGTACCACTGAATCAAAGGATTTATGGAAGTTTATGTAGATTGCGTCTATTGCTTTGCCCTGATCGAGTTGTGTAGTCCATATGTTTTTGCAGTGT